TTCTTTTTCTTCTTTTTCTTCTTTTTCTTCTTTTTCTTCTTTTTCTTCTTTTTCTTCTTTTTCTTCTTTTTCTTCCTTTTTCTTCTTCTTTTCTTCTTCTTTTTCTTCTTTTTCTTCTTTTTCTTCTTTTTTTCCTTCTTCTTTTTCTTCTTTTTCTTCTTTTTCTTCTTTTTCTTCTTTTTCTTCTTTTTCTTCTTTTTCTTCTTTTTCTTCTTTTTCTTCTTTTTCTTCTTTTTCTTCTTTTTTCTTCTTTTTGGTTAGAGCAATTGCCATTGCAATGCTTGCATGCAAGTGAGCACTCCAACCCACTTCGGCGGCACCCGCACCTCGTGCCACAATCGGTTTCCCAAGAACAAGAAATTTTGCTTAAAATTTCCTCGGGACCGGCTTCCTTGGTCATGGTGACAGGACTGAGGAGTTAGTGGGTCGTAGAAAAAATATACTGACTATATCGAGTGGATTGTTCATATCACAATCAGACGATTGAGTACTCCGCCTTCGTCTTCGTGTGATATGGCTATCATATCCACCCTTGTTGAACAAACTACTATTTATTTGTTTTCTTGGTTTAAGTTTTACATCAGAAATAGGAACTAAATTAATTTACTTTTCTACTTTTCTTGTAAAAATCGATATTACTTTCTCCAAGTACAAATTTAGTACCTACCTAAAATAAGTACTAATTATGTAATTTCGTGTAATATTGTAATTCAAATTTCACGTTACTGTAAAGTTTCAAAATTCCCTACTTCGGTATGGTCAGATAAAAATTGATTATATTATATTAATAAAAACTGTCAAAGTATTACTTCTACAAATCTGTATTTTAATTAATTAAGAATACATCTAAATATAACCAATATTGTTAAAATAAAAGCACAAATTCTTTATAATTCCAAAATAGTTTCCAGACCTCAGTCGAAGCATTCGTTTATCTAGGTATAAACCCTTTGCGCGAAGAGTAACATTTGCTAGACACACGGGGTACCACTTGATTTGCATCCACGGGCGTGACAAAATTCTTTAACAATTAAAGCCCTTGGTGTAAAAAGGATCCAAGCCACAATTTGTCGTGAAGTAACTGTTTTAGCTCAAAACATTTGTTAACGAGGATTTTACTAGCCACATACAAATTATTTTACCTTTAATCCGAAAGATGTGCTATTTTTTGTAATATTTATATTTAAATAATTTTTTTAATTATATTTGACAGATTTAAAACAAATTTAAAATTTAATTTCCCAAAACTTACTTAATATGGCATGTAACCAACCTTATTACGCCAAGGTTTTCAATTTTTTCAATAATAAAAAAATTGTTTAATCCGGGCCCGTCTTTTCCGTCGAATCTAACAGAGATAGCACCATTCCGTCTTGCTTGGTTCTCAACCGCCAGATCAAAGACGCCGACACGGAGTTGTGGAGCTGTATTGTATAAGCTGTGTTAATGTGTTTCTGCATTTTCAAGATAATTTTGAGACAGTGTATTTATCGATGCGTGTTAGTTTGATAGTGTGGCGACATTTTTTTCTTTTGAATCCGTGTTTTTTGAGGTTAGTATTTTGTAAGGTGCAATAAGAGTTAGGCTTAGTTTAAACTTATATTTTAAGAATAAATATCTGAAAATAACATTTTTCTACGACCACTTAGGAAAGTGACACATATCACACTATATAGACCTATAGAAAGTGCCCTATATCACACGCGTATGAATAAGAATTTACTTTCCACCCAAGTGAGAATATGCTACTTTCCGCAGTAGCTGTCAGAAAATGTCAAACACATAATTTCTATTTTGATCTATGTAATGTCCATATTAATACTAAAATCGATATGATTGTTAAATTATTGTAAATTAGATCCTAGATATTTATCTTTAACAATTATTTTTAAAATAATTTTAAAATAACTAAGATATATTTGCTTTTTATTCTGGTTAAACACATAAGCGATTAGATCAATCAATTACCGTAAGGCCTGTTAGCTCAGTTGGTTAGAGCATCAACTTTGCAATTTGAGACCGTCCAACGACCGCGATCGAATCCTGGCTGTGCCAGAATTTTTTTTTTATTTTTTTTTTATTTTTTTTTATTTGTTTAGAAATTATGAAAATTTAATAAATACGATTATTGTTGATTATTTTTTTAAATACATTTTAATTATTATAATAATCTGGTTTTACATTTTTTTGATGACATATTATTTTGTGGTCGTAGGAAAAATATTGTACATCACTTGTGTGAAAAGTGATTTTCCACACTCGTGTGATAGTCGCACTCGGCTTACGCCTCGTGCGACAATATTTCCCACTCGTGTGAAAAATGTCACTTTCCACACTCGTAATGTAATATACTATTTTTACATCTTTTACAGGTGTTTACATTTATCCCAAGGTTCTGTGTTTATGGGGGAAATGTAAACAAGTTTTCGTGGTAAATATAAACAATATTTGGAAGTTAATTTCACTATAAAAACATAAGATAAGATAGCTACAGATAGTTTGGGATAATATGGGGTAAATGTAAACCTGCTTTCAAATTGCATATGTATGTTACAAAATGTATAAAAACTAATTTGTTCACATTTGCCCCATGCAATGCAATGCTTTTACGCATTTACATTTACCTCGACAGGTCTGGGATAATTGTAAACACGATATTTGTTAACATTATTGTTTTTCCAAAAACACATCTATACTTATAAAAAAAATATACGAGCCTTAAAGTAGAGGGTCTAACTTATTAATATCTCAATTTGTAAATTAAGAAAACGTCTTTTAGTGTCAAAAACTAAATTGAATTTTGAAAACTGCGAAAATCGTTTCCATTTACCTCAATTTTTGACCCTACATGCTTTTTGGTATATTATCAATAATAATTTAAGACCTATGACCCTTAGTTTACAGTAATTTATTCTGAAAAATCCTGCATAACTTTTAAACAGCATACATCTTAATAAAATATTTTGTATAGGTATAATTTTTGTTGGCATAAAAGATTAGATATTATGCTTTTTTGATGCTAAAAAGTAGAAAAATATCTTCTGGGTATATTATGACACGATATTTGTTAACATTATTTTTTTTTCCAAAAACACATCTATACTTATAAAAAAAAAATATACGACCCTTAAAGTAGAGGGTCTAACTTATTAATATCTCAATTTTTGAATTAAGGAAACGTCTTTTAGTATGAAAAACTAAATTGAATTTTGAAAACTGCGAAAATCGTTTCCATTTGAGTCATTCCATTTAAAATCGTCTAATTGGCAAAGCTGACCCATCTTAGATTTTGGTGTAACTTTGAAGAACTATTCTTTAGGGTCTCAAAGAAGATAATTTACACGAGTTTGATTTTTATAAGCACTCGTTTCCGCCTAGTTAAATAAAGACTTTAAAAAATCGACATTTTTAAGCCTTATCGACTTTTCCTCTGAAATTTTTCTTTTTGAAGATAACTACATTATTAAAGCGGAATTCTGAGGGGGAAAGATATTAGTTTAAGTGTAAGCATCGATAATTTGCTCAGTCAATACCTCTGATTAACGGCAGCGTGGTGAAAATGAGTGTTTTTTAATCAATTATCGTGAATTTTAATCGACTCTAGCGTCTTAACTGCTTAGACTTAGCAGCTTATGTTCCTCAGGAATTAAGTGTATATGTCATAGGTAAAATACAGCCACAAGTCAACCTGAGTAGCCCACTCTTTGCAAAAAAAAACTTTGCTTGAAATTTTGACATTTTCAAAAATTGCATTATTCAGGTTATATAATGAACGTGTTTACTGCCAGATAAAAATCTGAAATTCTTAGAATCTACTGTTCTTACCTTTAACTTTAAATGACCGTACCACTTGTTTTGTTATTTTTATGTTTAGTGCATGTGCAAGTCGTTTTTTACAGCAAAAATCAACTCAATTTTTTTATTTTATAATCTTATAAATTCAGTTTTTCTTGATGTTTTTTCATAAAGATATATAAGAATCCTATACATAGGTCGAAATTTTTTTCAAAATAGAAGCATCTAGTTATTTGGAAAGAAATAAAAAATTGAGTTGATTTTTGCTGTAAAAAAACGACTCGTACATGCACTAAACATAAAAATAACAAAACAAGTACGGTCATTTAAAGTTAAGATCAGTAGATTCTGAGAGTTTCAGATTTTTATCTGGTAGTCAACATGTTCATTATATACCCTGAATAATGCAATTTTTGAAAATTTCAAAACTTCAAGCAAAGTTTTTTTCTGCAAAGAGTGGGCTGCTCAGGTTGACTTGTGGCTGTATTTTATCTATGATATATACACTTAATTTCTGAGGAACATAAGCTGCTAAGTCTAAGCAGTTAAGACGCTAGAGTCGATTGAAATTCACAAAAAATTATCAAAAAACACTAATTTTCAGCACGCTGCCGTTAATCAGAGGTATTGACTGAGCAAATTATCGATGCCTACACTTAAACTACTATCTTTCTTCCTCAGAATTCCGCTTTAATAATGTAGTTTTCTTCAAAAAGAAAAATTTCAGAGGAAAAGTCGCTAAGGCTTAAAAATATCGATTTTTTAAAGTCTTTATTTAAATAGGTGAAAAGGAGTGCTTATAAAAATCAAACTCGTATAAATTTTCTTCTTTGGGATCCTAAGGAATAGTTCCTCAAAGTTACACCAAAATCTAAAAAGGATCGGCAACAATTTTTTTTATTTTCAGACGATTTTGTATGGAATGACTCATTTACCTCAATATTTGACCCTACATGCTTTTTGGTATATTATCAATAATAATTTAAAACCTACATGGCCCTTAGTTTACAGTAATTTATTCTGAAAAACCCTGCATAACTTTTAAACAGCATACATCTTAATAAAATATTTTGTATAGGTATAATTATTTTTGTTGGCATAAAAGATTAGATATTATGCTTTTTGATGCTAAAAAGTAGAAAAATATCTTCTTGGTATATTATGAGTACTTAACACAACTGGATCTATTTAATTTAAAAACTTACCTGTCGACCATAATGCGGAAGCTAATTTGATATTGAATACAATATGGATTACCTGAAACAAAATATATACAAGTTAATAAATAAGTATATTTTCTTTTTGTACAAAATAAGTGGGCCCTAAATAATTTCATCTTCATTCTAGTAAGAACACTGTATATTTTGGTGACCGGTCTTCCTACTATTCTTTTTTTAAATTTTAAATTAGTGTCAATTTTATCAAACACTTTATTTTTTAGTTATTGGAAATAAATATAATTAAAAATAATGATAATCCACTAGATATTCGTTATTATTTATAAAGAAACTGTACATTTAAATAAAAATATCTAGAATCAAATTAAATATAAATATTTAAAAGATATTGGCGTAACAGTTTCAGTGAAGCATTCTCGTTCCAAGCACTAGGGATCAAATCCCGATTGAATAATTTTTTTTAGATTTACTTTTTGTATTATTAGTAAAATTAATACTATCAAAATAGATGTTTTATCTAAATAACCATTTAATAACTTTTTAAGTTGTAGAAAAAATATACTCTATTACTCGAGTCGATTATCTACTCATATATTCGTCTCGGACGATTGTGCTATCCGCCTACAACGTAATGCTCAAACTTCGTCTTCGTGCGATATGGCTATCATAGCTCTCTGTATCTGTGACGTATGGAGGGTGCGTTGCCCCCAAGGCACTTAGGCCTCACTCGGCTCATTGTGCATTCTTTGAATTTGATAGAGGATATGCTCGATGGTCTCATCTTTTTGTTCGCACCCCCTGCAGAATGCGGGTCCTGACGGGTCTCTTCTACGGAAATCCTTCCGTACTTGGCAATGACCAGTCATAATACATGTGCCCTAATCATAGTCAAGGATTTGTTTTCTGTGTTGTGTTGTTGGGGTAACTTAAAAGCTCCCTGGTAACTCTATAGGTTCTTGTTTCATGCCATCTTTCCTTGAATTTCACAACGTAATATTGTTTATTTACAATCATATATGTAATGTTGTCATTACTTACGTCATTAAAGGTTGGGAAGTGTCACATTACATACCTCTACTTCCCGCCTTCACTTCCCGCCCTCATTTCCCGCCCTCACTTCCCGTCCTCACTTCCCGCCCTCATTTCAACTATTTTAGATGAATATTTTTTATATTTAAAAAAAATAACACATTTTTTTGACAAATTTTATAATACCTATTTAATGGCAAACAATAAAAAAACAACAATGAACTAAAATACAACAAACTACTTATTGATATTTATTATTCGCGAATTTAATATCCGGCTTTATCTGACATTTATTTATATTGGTGACAGTTGTTTACCCCGTAATCACAGTAACAATATATTTACTCGATTATTCTGAGAAAACCGCGCGCTTGGTAATTTGTCGTTAAATGTAATATTTTAGGTATGTTCAGAACGAAACAGAGATTTATCAACTTTGATCGAAATATGATGGTTGTAAATAAAATAGTATACAAACTTCGGTAGGAAGTTTCATTCCTGTCTCGAGATCATAGCTAACCTCGACGCTTCGCGTATCGGTGATCTAACTAATCTCACGACAGGAATGAAACTCTTCCCACCTCGGTGTGTAATATACTATTAATTAGGCTTATCACTACCGATGTTGTCAGTCCAATGGAAGGGCCAGCTCCAAAAAGTATATGATTAGCTGCCGTCTTGCCACATTATTGATGGACACTTCGGTCAATGCTTTGTGACATTCTAGTACTAAAGTACCTAAGTACCTAAGTAAATTTGTGGTCTGTCCAGGGCGAGTAGTGCTTATCTGTTATCAGAAGATGGGACAAAGGTTACTTTAAGTTAACGTACATTGAAAACTTTTGTACATTAAAAACTTACCTCACGCAGATAAAATTATGAGCTCACTATACATTAATGTATTGCTGTATTACTGTATTGAGATATTTGAAGATTTGAGAACAAGCCTGAAAAGATGTTTAGCCCGAATTAGCACATCCAACTGCCGTCTAGGAATCTGAATAGTCAATGTCGTGAAGGTCTAGAGAAAAAGCGTTTGTGTATAAAACAAAAATATCTAGGTTCGAATCCCAGTGACGACAGGTTTTTTTTGTTTTTTTTTTAAGTACTTGTTTTCACTTTTGGGGTTTGGGGATGATCTTAATAATTCGTAGGGGGATTTTTGAGATTTGTTTCCGAATTTTCAAATTACTACTTTTAATCACTTGAAATACAAATTTAAAATTGATATTTATATGTGAGATGATGTATATTTTCCATACAGAAGTTTAATATTTGTTTTTAATATTGAAATTATACAGAATGGAACACTGAAAACAGTTCAGACTGATTTTTCTTACCTAGTAATTATTAGATTTAAAAATAGGTCGAATTTTAATTCAAAGGGGACATCTTCATTACGATTATTTGGGTTTAGCTCTCTTTAAAAGGTTAGAAAACTAACTTATTATTAGTATCATTCACAATGTAACAAAACTTAATTTAATGAATCATACATATAAATACTTGGGAAAATCTTGCCAATAAAGTTAATATTAAATAAAATTAACTCATTAAATTACTAATAAAATTTGCTTTCAAATAAAGTGTCACACTTAATAATACGTAACAGTATTTTAGTCGCTAAAATCAAAAGTAACATAAGCTTGCGTTTATCAAATTGCATAAAAACTAGTTTTAAATGGTACTTTTGGTAGTCATAATACCCATTTAATTTACCAAACACAATTTTTTAAATAGTTTTAAACGTATTGCATAAGTTTAGTGTCTGATTATTGTTATTTCTTTTAACGTACTTTGATTACTAAAGTAAATAATAATTAATGTATGTACAATAATAAATTAAACATAAAAATAAATAAATATATAGGTATAGGATACGTGTTAAGATTATATATCTTATTTGAAAAAATGGTGTTTTATAGCTTTTGCCTTGAATTTATATAAAATGGAAAATTGTACAAGTATTTTTTTAATGTCCTGTTTTGTTTACCATTTTCCTTTTTGTTAATGACAAAAAGTTGTCATTTTAATTAATTAATTAATAAGATATAATTATTAGCGGTATATAATTGCCTTTGTCCATTATTAGCTAGTTTGTAAAAAAACTAGCTTTATCCCACATCTTAACTCACCTTTTGTTCCACCTCTAATGCATGAAAACCAATTGATTAAATTACTACATCGATATCTTTATTATTGAATCATTTGGGTTGTTCTTTGTGATTAAAAAGAGTGGTTTGGACCCAGTTATATTTCATAAAAATACAATATTTTAAAATAAATAACATAAAAATATAAATTCAATTTTAATAACTTTATTGTTTATAGATGATTTTCAACGTATTAAAAACAAAACAAATACTACAATAAACAAAATATTAATTCACTCATTGATTTAATAATAATTGTAGTGCTTGATCTTTATGATCTTTATAATAATTTAATATAAACCCAAATAAAAAAAAAAAAAACAGCGATATTAGTTATTGTACAAAGTTTTGAACCGAGCTTACAAATGAAAAAAATATTGGAAAAAATGATACACCCATTTTAAATTATTACGAGTCGCCACTTTCTATATATAGAGCTAGTGGTATGTTCCATTAAGGGTTTAATTTAGAATTTAGCTATAGTAATAGTTCAATAAGAATGATAAAACACTTAATCTGTACCACAAAATAAATGTGTTTATATTTTATTCTTAAATTTAAATATAGCATTTTTTCAACCACCCCTGTATTCAAGCCAACTGCGCTCAAACCCATGCATTTAAGAAATGCACACCTTCCATCCTGCGAGTAGCAACGTCATCTCACTACTTCAAAGCATTTCAGTACATATTCTATCTATCTTTTGGGTTACAGAATCTCTCTGTTTTTAGCAAATAAATTTTGGTCATTTGGACGAGTCTATTCTACAATAACGAGAGGAGTAAGTAGGGCGCACTCAACTGTCACATACAAGAACCAACGAATTACCTGCTTCGACTTACATTGTACACATTGTTCTCGCCACACTCGCAACTGAATTTTCGAACTTTGAATCCTTAACATGTATTCGTAGTAGGGAGACATTGTTCCCGTACTCCACATAAGAACCTTATTGCCCGTTTCTGCATTATAAAGACTCTAGCAAATAACTCGGCAAAACAGACTCGCCAAAACTGAACAGCATAACGTAAGTGGGAGTCAACTAACGCATAATATGCAGTTTTTACTGCACAAACTTCTAATTCATGAGGGGTAGTTTTAATGGCATAACAACCCGATGCGAGTTTTTTAAAAGTGGTTCCACATGAGATTTGAATTTCAAATCCGTGTCGATATTAAAACCCAAAAATTTTGTAGAGTCTGTGGCTTCTACAGTATCCATATTTATTGAAATATTAGGAATATTGCATTTAAATGTTAGTATTTTTGTTTTATTTTTAAATTTAATGACAGAAAATTTGCAGTGCACCATGTTTTAAAGAATTTGAAGTCATTACTAATATTTGCATAAAGAATATTAACGTCTTTATTATGTCACAAGATAGTAGTATCGACCTAAATCATTTATATACATTAAAAATAGGGTGGGCTCAAGAACAGAACCTTGTAGTACACACCATTTTATGTCGCTTGTTTTCCAAACAAGAAGAAACAGCATCCGATACGTTTCTGTTGTGTTGATTTATGCCCAGAATATTATTTTGGTCTAGATATCTAACTAGTCGATTTTTTACAAGTTTCTCAATGATTTTTCGCAGTGTCGGAATTAGAGATATGGGCCTAAAATTAGACGGCTCAGTTAAGTCTCCTCCCTTATATAATGGAACCACAACACTCGTTTTAAGAAAAGGAGGAAAAGTACCTTCATTAAAACTTTTATTAAAATGGATAAAACGTCTAATGCAGAAGTAGGTACCTAAGTTTTGAAATATTTTTACTGACATTCCATCATACATAAGAAAACATAAAAATTTCTTTATATGGACATAGTTCCGAAAATTCATAATTTTCCAGATACAGGGTGTTTTTTATATATTTCATTAATATCCTTTACTTG